TTGCCCTTTGGCGGGAAACTGCTGTGCTTCCCTGGAAATCCCAGACCGTCGGTGCCGAAGCATAGCAGCAAAACCGGTTTGCTATCAGACCAAAGCCATATTTGATGTGTGCGGTTGCAGAAGTATAATCCTCCCTTTAAGATGCGCTGACCCCGCTGTTCTCTCCCTCTCCTCAGGCCTTCTCCCATCCCGTCTCGTCCAACCGGCGCCACCCGGTGGACCGTCTGGCCGAGGAGGTGCAGCAGCTCAAAGATCAGCTCGCCCAGCTCTCCAGCAGCAAGCGCCCCGACCCGCTCGCCTCGACGCAGGAGCCCAGACGGACCGACGGCAACCTGAACCAGAGCACCAACAACAGCACCTTCCTTTACTCAGCACTCAGGCCCAAAACGACCCCCCCACCTACCTCCACCAAGCAGCACAGCTCCAGAGGCCACTCCTCCTCCTCCTCGTCCGCGCCGCTGCCATCAAGGCCCCCCAACAGAGACGGTAACAAGCACTCCTTTCTGTTCGGACACTCGGCAGGAGCGGACCCTCGGTCGGAGCCTCGCTACCATCCTCCCCCCGGTACCACCAAGCTGCCTAAGAGCAACGGGCCGCCGCTGACCTCCTGAGGTCCGTCCCTGTAACCTTTAAAATGTCCCTCAGTGCTGCCCGTATGTGTGATACCTAAAAATCACTCCCCTGTGACTGTGCTGTACAGAAAACTGTTTTTGTACCTTTTTGTATCTTCGAATAAATTCAAGAGAAAAGCAAAAAGAAAAAAAAAAAAATCGTGCAGCCGAGGAGCGGCCGGCCGTTGATCTTCAGACGGAGGAGGAGGACAGGAAAGGTTGGAGGTTCTGTTTATAGCTTCTTATCCAGACGCTTCAGATAAACTTCCAGGAGCTGTGGGACTTTTTTTTTCTGTTCCTAATATGCAAACAGGTTTGTTTCTGGATGTTTCTGTCGGCGCTGCAGCCCGCCGGCTTTAATGTGGAATTTAGGACATGAGAGCTATTTTTGGTCCCGCTTCCCTCTGGTGGTTCATCCTTCAGAGCAGGACCTTCATTCCTTCACAGTATTAAACACGTCTGCAGTCAGAACCCGGATCGTTTTACAGTGAAAGCTTCAGCATCTTTTCAGTTTTCTCAGACAACTCTGATCTTCCAGACTTTTTTTTTGTTTTTTTACTCTAATCAGTGTTTAAATTAGCCCCTTTATCTTTAATTCGCCAGAAAACACCTTCCAGTAAAGCATCACATTTTAAATAGTCTCATTTAAGTCGATCTGCTGCTTTCCTTTAAAGAACCCGTTATCCGGGTTTGGTTTGATGCATCTACATGTGATCTGAGCAGATCTTAGTCGGACCAGTCGGTGCCAAAAGATTGAAAAAGCAATGAAATCCTCCTTTATGGCCGCCTAAAGATAAACCAGACTGCTGCAACATCATTTAAGGTTAATATGTGGATGTTTGTCTGAATATGTGTGAAGATTTAGGGCATTAATGATACTTTATAAAGTGTTATTGAGTGATTATGGCGTCGTCTCTGACCACGGTTTGTGTTATGCTGATTTAAAAACTTCCAACAGGAAGCCAGTATTGGAAGCAAAGTGAAGCTCGTTTCTTCCCATGTTTACATTTTCATTTTTCTGCCTGATTGTTTGTTTGCAGGCGAAAGCTCCACCGGGTGAAACGTTTCCATCCCACCTTCCACATGTTGCGTAATTTATTTTAAAAGCAGGATAAAAGCCATCAGTCCTGATCTCTCCTGTCAGACGGTACCTCTATGGAGTTAAATGTGTTCCATTATTGTTGCAAATTCAAATTTGAAAAACTTCTAAATCAAAAAAGTTTTTAAAAAAAATACGAACTTTTGCCTTTGAAACGCAGATTGACCAATAGAAATTAACAAACTGAAATGGAAACTTAAAAAAAAAAAAAGGAAATATAAAACGTGTGAGAAAAAAAAAATGTAGAAAATTACAATATATTATTTAAAAAAAAATAATAATAATTTTTTTCTGTTTGCAACAATAATGGAACAAAACTCACTCCATATTCCTCAGTTTTCACATTATTGTAAATATTTCTGGTAATAAATGGCCTCTAAGCTTTTCCAGGTGTGATGCCAAGCTGTCTTCCCTTTATTTGACCTCTTCACACCTGCTGACCTGCATCATCATTTCGTTTTTGGTACGAACATCCTCTGAATTTTGCCAGTTGTAAATACCTTTTTTTTTGTACCAGCATGTTTTCCTCTTGATTTAAAGTGTTTTTTCCTTATTTTTTCTCTGTTCATGAAAAAAAAAAAAACTAACCCTGTAGAATTTCCTCTTGAATAAAAACCTTGTCGTACACCGGCTCACAAACTTTATTTTTTAACAAAATAAATACTTAAAAAATAATCCGTAACACTTACAGTAAAACTAGGAATTAAAAACCCGCGGTTAAAACCTTTAAGAGTTCATGTGCAAATAAAATACTTTAAAAAAAAAAAAGTCAATACTGACAGGAAGTTCCGTCTGCAGCTAGCTACGGTGTCCAGCTGAAAAAATTTGGCGTTTTGTGAAACACTGTGGGTGAAAACGTGCTGAAAGAAAAGCGTTCTCCTCCATGTTTATTATGCTGACGATGTGCAACTTTCCACTAGTCTCTGAAAAACGCTCCAGTGCTGCTGCATTACCGAAAAATAAAACGATCAACAGAGACGGAGAAAGTGGAACGATTGATTCTGTCCAAAGTTAAACGGCAGCGGCTTTCACAGTTGGACGGCCTTCATCCCGACCGACTCCCGAGCTCCTTCCCGCTACACTGCTGCAGGATCCCAGAGGGCCCGTAGAAGAACCCAGAGGAGGACGGCCCCAGGCCCCCCAGCTGCCGGATCGACTTGCACATCGGGCACGGATACTCGGACAGACCCTCGATGTCCTCAAAGGCCATGTTGACGATCTGGTCGCAGCAGGGGCTGCAGTAGAGGTGTCCACATGAGAGGCGTTTGAGGCGCCCCTCGTAGGTGATGCAGCACTGGCAGTGCGGCAGGTCGGGCCCCAGCGACAGGGAACCCGTCAGGGAGCTGCTCTCCAAGCTGCCGGCCTGGCTGGAGCTGTGCTTAGCGGGGGACCTGGGGGGAGAAGGAGGACCTCAGATGAACGGCATACAGACATACATCCTTTACATATTAAAATAAAAACCAGATTGTTCAAATCTAATCCAGTGCACTTCTCTAACATGTGGAGTCCCCCAGGGCTGTGTTCTTAGTCCCACTCTTTTTTTCCCTTTAAAATGCTTATTTAAATCTGGGATCCCCAAATATTTGTGTGACCCACCCCAAAAAAAGCCCCCCCACAAAAAAGAAACCCTAATTTAACTCCATAAGCAACAAGTAATTATATTCATTTTTTAAATAAGTGTTTTAAATTGTTCATTTTTTTTTTACATTATTGGAACATTTAAATATGTAATTGTGCATTTTACAATTTAATGACCAATAAAAAAATTTGAATCATACATTAGACAAATGTTACATCTACGTATTTCATGGTACAATGGCTGGAGATAAATATTTTACTAATATATTAACCAGTTTCTTATATTTATAATCATATGGCAACAATTTCAATAAAGAGTTTATATAGAATTAAAGTCAGATAAAGCTAAAGCTTTACCACTAGAGGACCGTAAATGGCATAAAAATGTTTTTTGTCTTAAATGCAAAATGTTGTTTTTTTTATTATTTGATCATATATATTTATCCAAGTGTGTTTCTTTTTCACCCAATCTTAGGCCCCGTCCACACGAAGTCAAAACGAACACAAAACGCTAATTTTTTCCATAAC